GAGGGGGAAGAGGATGGGAAGGGAGAAGGGGGCGAGCAGGATGAGAAGGAGGAGGAGGAGAGGGAGGAGGATGATGGGGGAGGAGGGGGGGGGGAAAAGAAGAGGGGGGAAAGACAAGCGAGATGCACTCGCGCAGCATCTGACATCCGACTACTCCCACCCATCCCTTCCCATTTGCGATGGTTCTCATTTGTCCGCGGAGGCGTGCCATGGCAAACCTGGAACCAAAACAACACATCGTGCTTTGCGCAATCGGAAGAGGGGAGCTGCGTACATAGGATGGAGAGGTTGCGGATGAGCAGGGTAATGCAACAGGAAGAACGGAAGAGGTTGCGGAAGGGGGAAGCGGATGAGGACGAGCCGCAGCAGCAGGCACTGGAATGGAAGAAGAGAGAGAAACAGGAGGACCAGGTCAAGCCAGAGGAGGAAAAGGGAGAGGGCGACAACGAGAAAGGATTCGGGTCCAGAAAAGTGGCCACCGCGGGAGCGAGAGCGCCATTCCCAACGACGGGAGCTACACCGCGATCCTAAAATGAGGGCCACGCTGCAGTGGAAACACCATGTCGGAAAGACCGAGAATGTCCGGATCGGAACAGCACATCGGAACAACCAACTCGGACTTGGACCCATGCTGTGCGTACGGATCAATACGCGGAAGGGGGGCGAGACACTCAGGACGTCTTCGGTGGAGAGGGGGAGAAGCATTCGTAATGACAAGCTGGATACTTCTGAGAAGGGGAAGGAGGAGGGAGGAGGAGGATGAGGAGGAGGAGGAGGAGCCCAGGAGCAGCCGCAGGTGCAGGGGCTAGCCCAGGAGCAGGACCACGAGCAGAAGGAAGAACCAGGGGGGCGCGGAGGAGCCCCGCGTTCACCCAGCGCTGGAGGCATCCATTGATGCGGCGGCGCGTCGGCTGCTAGTTGTTTGAATTTCGTGCTCGTGCCAGGCGGGCTTGGACCTAGGACTCGTCCGATTCCTCGCTCAGCTCCTCGACGTCCTCCTCGTCCCGTTTGGAGCAGCAGTGTCCGAAGAGTCCCAGGTCGGGCTGCGGGCGGCTCCTTGCGTGCTCATCGGCATGCTCCTGTCGGCGATCGACGATTGATCCACACTCCTGCTCGCGCCAGAACTCCAAGAGAGGGTTCTTCATCCACGCCCTGCCCACCCACCCAGGCGCTCAAAGTGGGGCCATCATCTGGGGTAACTGTTGGTCGAAAGAAGTGAAGTGGGCAGAAGCAAGAAGTAGGAAGGTGTTGAAAGTATATTGGGCTTCCACCCGCCCCCCTGAAGAGCAGATCACTCGAGTCTTGAAGTAGAAAGGCGCCTGAAGTAGATTGGAACTTGGGCGTTCAAAAGTACCTACTTCTAACGACCGAAGAGTATGGATCGAACGTCGATCGCCGCTCCTTCGTCCACTCCACCACCTCTGCCACGACCACGGCGGTGTCGTCCACCTTCCCTCCGCGACCGATGGGCGTGTCCGGGAGCACACCGAGCGACCCGCGCACGGTCTTCGCGTGCGCGGCTGCGACTATCTGCTGGCCCAAGCTCCTCAAGATCGGCGTGGGCACATTGCCTTTCATGTTCGGCTGGAGGACGCGGTTGCAAATCTCAGTGACCTCGTGGCAGAACAGGTTGTCGAACACTCCGTCGGTTCCCATCACGATGATGTCGCCCTCGTAGGCCGACACGCAATGCACCGCCGAGCCCTTCTCGATCACCTCCACCGTGATGTCGTCGTGGAAGCCGGGGTCGATCTTCGCGTTGATGCGAGCTATCTGTAACGGGGTCTGCGCGTGTCCGTCGATGCGCTGCATCTCCGTCTGGAACACGCTCGCTAAGCGGCTCCCACGTCCCTGGGTGCGCCGGAGCACCAGCAGCTGGCAATCGCCGACGGTGATCACAGCGATCATCGGGTGCGGCCGCCCGTGAATCTTGGTGCTGTTGTCAAGCAGGGCCAGGGTCGCTGTCGTGGAACCCAACGTATCCTCCGTGGCCTCGAATGCATCCTTCAAGAGCGGGATGGGTCCTCGGTACTTGTCCTGCGGCCCAGCCTTGTGCCCTGGGGTGAGCTGGGCGGCGCCGAGGTCCTGGCAATGCCTCAGGAGATCCTTGGGCAACAGCGAAGCGTCAATTCCAAAATCCTCGATCTGAGAAACTCCGTCGGCAACGCCTAAGATCATGGGGGATCCTAAAGTCACGTCAGCATCCCGGATGCCCTTCCGGGTCTTGTCCGGGTGTTGCTTCTGGTAGGCCTGCGCGCTGAAGCAGAGAGTCTTGTTCTTGTGAACCTCCTCCTGGATGAAATCCGTGTGCTTCTGAAACGTGCTGAGGATCTTGCGCTGCTCCTCTGTCTCCACATAGAAAGTCGGGGTGCGGAGGACGCCCACGATGCCGCCGGACAATGGGGAAGCCATGCGGACACGGCCGAGCTGGCCTACCCCAAGTGGGGATACTCGCGGGCCTCTCGCTGTCCAGCAGGCCCTCGAGCCAGCACGGCTAACTCACAGGGCAGCAGCACTACCCTCACAATAGCACCCCGACAAGCGAAGTCGCCGAGTAAACGCACCTAGCGAAAATAATAGAACAGAGCAGGGCCGTCGAAGAAATGCCAAGGGCCGTTTGGCAAACGCAAACTATGAGAATGGGGGTTGTTCTCTCTCCCTGGAGAACTGCGGGAAGAGAAGGCGGAGGAGCAACAGCAGCAAACAATCACGGGCAGGAGCAAGGGCACAGCACGACAACGGGCACGGGCAAGAGGGGGCGCCCCTGACGACGACGACGGAGATACGGAGGCGAATCGGGAGGCGGACGGAAGCGTGGGAAAGAGCATGTGAAAGGTTGACTTAGATACAACACACTCGCACACTCGTCCCACAACATGCTTTAGCATGAAAGCTTCTGACCAGTCCTGGAGGATTACGTGTTCTGAGACCTCTGCCAGTGTTGCTGATGGTGCTTGCTCTCATCTGGATAACCTCCAGAGGCCGTACAGGACCCGACATGAGCGCTGATGCCTCCTTGCAGTCGTGCCTGCGACGCAAACAAAGCATGGCATCATATAGATATTGCGAGCATGCCGATCGACCTACTCTTTGACGGGCCTGGGTGCACCACGTGTCCGCTATCACGATGTTGCCATGAACATGCACGGTGCCAGGGGCACCTTTGGTTCCGCATCTGTGCAAGACGGAAAAACAGCATGGGCAAGTGCAAAAGCAAGCAGACCTCCAGAAGTTCCCTGCGAGAGCCCACCGCGTCCCAAAACAATTCCAGGCAAGTAGGATCCGCCACCGTTCCGCGAGGCATCGAGTGGAATGACCTGAGGTAGACTCGATCTCTCGATTCTTGAGTGCTGCGGGTGATCAACCTCGAGGCCCCTGGAGCCCAACTCACGGCTCTCATGCGCTCTGATGGATCCTCGCATGATTTGTCCCAGGAGCGAGGCTCGGGAGCCAACCTTCCAGCACGCCCTAACGACATTGTGCTCCATGACGCGGAGACGCGGAGTGCCTGGTCGTGGGCGACAGGGACAGCATGGAGGGGGCACACGGTCGCCCCCAAGAGGCCCCCTGATGCCCGCAGGAGGTCCCCAGGAAGCCTCCAGAGGCCTCGAAGAGGCCCCCAGGAGTCCCCAAAGAGGCCTCGAAGAGACCCCCAAAGGTGCCTCGAAGAGAATCCCGACACCCGATGTGGCCAAAGCCACCAGCTAAGTACCAGGCCGCACGCAATTGTCACGCACCCTCTTCTGCGAGGGCACTGGCGGTCTCAATTCAGATGGAGGCGGCGGGCCTCCACAGGTGCACCCTATGCCTCTGGATGGCATCAGACCGTGCCAAGCTCTCCCCGAACAGGAGGGTCCTGGACAGACAGGCATGTGCAGTCTATTCCAGTGCCCATGGGCATGCTCCCCTTGCCACGAGTCCAGGACCAGAAGGCTGTGATGAGGCCTCTGCTGCGAGACATGGGCCACAGAAGACGCCAGCAATTGCCCCAGCGCGAGTTTTCATGGGCCTTGCTCATCAGCCTGGTGCTTCGTGGGCGCGGGCCACGGGGAAGGACGGGACCCAGACATCTGGAGACTCGGAAAATCGAGCCAGACGTTATTTGTCTGGGCGATTGTGGGCAAGAGCATGTGATCCATTTTCTTAAATCTGTATCGGAGCACCTGGCACATGGCGTTGCACGACGCATGGGCCAACGGATCGATTTTGACGCAATACCCAATGAAAACACAGTGAAGCGGCGCGAGATGAACCAGGACGACGACGGGAAAGGGGAAGGAGCACAAGGCTGCAGTGCCCAGAGAGGGGTGCAGTAGTTTTGAGTCTGCGGAGAACTTGCGCAGTTGGCAGCGCCCCGGGAGGGGAGCAAAAAGCTGGGCCCCCCGTGGGGCCGTGCCCCGCCGGACCTCCCCCGCAGAAACCGCCGACCTTTTGCGCAGCTGGCCAGAGGCGCGCCCTGCTCTCCACGGAGAGCTCCAGGCCCTCTCCAGCTCGCGCGAGCGGGCCGGCCCCCCTGGGGGCCCCCGGAGGACAAGCACCCTGGGCAGTTCCAGGAAGCCCGTGGGTCAGACTTCTTCCCATCCAGCCTAATGAGTTGGGTCCTCGCCTTGGGTTCGCGGCGCAGCGCGTCTTCCTTCCTTCCTTCCGCAACCCTCCTCCATGTCCTGCTCCTCTTCCTCCTCCTCCCCCTCCTCCTGCTCTGGCCCGCTTCGGCACACCCCTCTTGAAAGCTTCGTGCCACGCAGGGAGCTCCCCTATGACGCTAGTGGGCGTGCTCGCATGGCGTCCCCGCGCCCATGTCGGCACCCCCTTCATACGTTCCGTGTGTCACAGACAGCTCAATCCATGGCCCAAATGGGCGTGCTCGCATGGCCTCCGCGCCCATGTGCTCCCCCCACATCACATTTCGTGCCCCACAGGAAGCTCAACCCATCGCCCCAGTAGGCGTGGCCGCATGGCGTCCCCGCGCTCATATCGGCACACCCTTCACAATGCCCCACATGAAGCAGCGCCTATGACCTCAGTGGGCGTGCTCGCATGACGACCCCGCGCCCATACCGGCACAACCCTCACACGTTTCATGTCCCCACAGGAAGCTCAACCCATGGCCGCAATGGGCGTGCTCGGATGACGCCCCCGCGCCCAGTTCGGCACACCACTCACACGTTTCGCGGAACACAGGGAGCTCCACCGATGGTTCCAATGGGCGTGCTCGCATGACGTCCCCGCGCCCGCGCCCACTTCGGCACACCTCTCACACGATTCGTGCCCCACACGGAGCTGCTTTATATGGCCCCAGTGGGCGTACTAGCATGGCGTCCCAGCGCCCATGTCCCCCCCCCCCCCCCCCGCCCCCCCCCCGTACATTTGAGAGAGCGTGATCCACCGCCGCTTTACTGTGGAAAATTGCCGCCCTTTTCCCCGGAACCCGGGGACCCCCCCCCCTCCGAAAATCCCCCCCCCCCCCGTGCTGGACCCCCCCCCTTCCCGTCAAACTCCCCCCCCTCCCCTAACCCCTCCCCTAACCCTCCCCCCCCCCCGAACTCGAAAACTGGGGGGGGGGGGTCACGTCACTTCCGGTTCGAACCCCCCCCCCCCTCGAAAACCGGAGGGGGGGGTCACTACCGGTTCGAACCACTGAGCTGTCCCACTGTTCCCACCACTGTCCCCACTGTCCCCACCACTGTCCCCACTGTACCTCTGTCCCATTGTCCCACCGCCGTCCTCGCCACCGCCTTCACCACTGTCCCCACCACCACTGTACCCTCCACTGTCCTACTGTTTCCACCACATTCCCACTGTCCCCACACCACTGTCCCCACCACCACCGTCCCCACCACTGTCCCACTGTCCCCACTGTTCCCACCATTGTCCTCACCATTGTCCCCACCACTACCGTCCCCAACCACTGTCCCACTGTCCCCACCACTGTCCCGCTGTCCCCTCACCACTGTCCCCACCACCACCGTCCCCACCACTGTCCGCACCCCCCCTCGGTTTCCTAGGGGGGGGGGTTCGAACCGGTAGTGACCCCCCGGTTTTCGAGTTTGAGGGGGGGGGGGGGTTCGAACCGGTAGTGACCCCCCCCTTTTCATGATGGACTGGGGGGGGGGGGGGGAGGGGTTCAAACCGGTAGTGACCCCCCCCGGTTTTCCGGAGGGGAGGGGGGAGGGATTCGAACCGGTAGTGACCCCCCCCCGGTTTTCCGCCAGCAGCGGTAGAACACGCTCTTTCGTACATTTCGTGCCCCACTGGGTGCTCAACCCATGCCTTCAGTGGGCGTACTCGCGTGGCGTCCTCGCGCCCATGTCGGCACACTCCTCACACGCTTAATGCCCCCACAGGGCGGTTAACCCATCGCCTCAGAGGGCGTGCCTGCATGGCGTCCCCGCGCCCATTTCGGCACACTCCTCATAAGTTTCGCGGACCACAGGGGGCTCCATCGATGGGGTTAGTGAGCGTGTTCGCATGGCGTCCCCGCGCCCATTTGGGGACAGCCCCCTAGCTGCACCTATGGCCCCAGTGGGCGTACTAGCATGGCGTCCCAGCGCCCATGTCCATCCCCGCCCCCCCCGCACGTTTCGTGCCCCACAGGGTGCTCAACCCATGCGTCCCCGCGCCCACTTCGGCACACCTCTCACACGTATCGTGCCCCCAAAGCAGCTGCACCTACGGCGCCACTTGGCGGGCTCGCATAGCGTTCCCGCGCCCAGTTCGGCACACCCCTCACACGTTTCGTGGAGCACAGGGAGCTCCACCGATGGTCCCAGTGGGCGTACTAGCATGGCATCCCCGCGCCCACTTCGGCACCCCCCTCTCACGATTCGTGTCCCACAGGGAGCTCCGCCTGTGGCCTCACTGGGCGTGCCCGCACGGCGTCCCCGCGCCCATGTCGGCACACCCCATCAAGCGTTTCGGCCCCGACAGGAAGCTCAACCCGTGGCCCCAGCGGGTCATGGCGTCCCCGCGCCCATTTCGGCACAGCCTTACACGTTCTCTGTGTCACACGAAGGGCTCCATCGGTGGACCCAGTGGACGTGGCCACATGGCGTCCCCGCGCATGTTTCGGCACACCACTCACACGTGTCATGCCCCACAAGAAGCTCTGCCTATGGCCCCAGTGGGTGCTGGCATGACGGTCCACGCGCCCACTTGAGTTGAGAGTTCCGCGAAGCAGGCTCTCAAACGCATCCCGAGAGACACCAAGAAGCCGATTGAAGAGGCGTCTTGTCCACCATCCCTGTGCGGTCCCAGGGGTGCCCCGAGAAGCAATCGAGATGACTCCTTCACTCCATTTACCTCCTCTTACTCCCCCTCCTCCTCTTTTTCCTCCTCCTTCCCCCCTTTCTCCTCCCTCTCGCTGGCCACGAGCACACCAACAGGTAGCATTAGTTTTTTTTTTATGTATTATTAAACATGCGACCCCGCGTAAAATCGCTATCACTGCGTTGTAATTCATCTAAAATCTAAAATGAAAAATATACGAAGCAGTTCTGATGG